CACTCCAAATAAAGAATATAAAACTCTTAGTTCTAATATTTGTTTTCTAAAATATAGGCCAACTATACAAGCCATAATCCTTCATAGTAGTTCACTTTATGCATTATATCAGTATAATAAAATCTTCAATGATACATGCCTCATTCAACCTTGCACTTCACCACTAAACTGGACTTTGTTCTCTTCCAAACTAAATAAAAGGTAAAAGAAACTACCAACTTTAGCAGAACTTAAATGGGATATAAAAATGCATCTTGTGTTGCATTTAAACCCATGTTTTTCTTTAAGTTTTTCTTTTTCCACACAAAATACAGTTAGAGAAACTGACAGAAGCCCAATTTCTTCTTAGCACCTACATATCATGGAAAACATGAGTTCATGAAATATCAAAGAGCAGAGTTCCTGGAAAGTAAGAGGTTGAACGTTTCGTTCCTCCAACCACTCGGGGTGTGAGTGCCTCTATTCTTTATTTTTAGGCTTTTTCCTCTCTGACGACAATTTTCTTTCAGCGAGAATGTGTTTTGAATCTTATTGTTTATCATCTCATTTTTTGTAATAAAATTTTTCTTTATTGACCAGGGTTTCTTACAACTAGTCAAAAATGCTTGTCATCTTTTTTTAACAGAACAACATTAAAAAAGAATGCCAACTTTTCACCATGCCTCATCTAATTACTTACAATAATCTGTTCAAAGAAACAAAAGCATAAATGATCAATAAAATAGAAAAAACGAAAGCATAATTAAAAGAAAACTCTTACCATCCGACAAGATGAAGGGTCCAACAGCTGGATGTAGGAATTACTTAAACCAACAGCAAGATGTACTCCATCCGGCGCCCATCTGACACTTGTCACATGCCCAATTTCCTCATCAATCACAACAAGTGCAGAAGTAGCGCCATTAGCAGCATTCCACAAATATACTGAATTCCCAAGAGCGATAGTGACAATGTTACTGCTACTCCAATCCAGTAAATTCAAATAAAACTCATCTAGGAGCTCAGAAACAACAAGAATCCTTTCTGGAGACTGTTAAATTACCAAACAAACACATGTCAACAAGAAAGCAATCAATCCAAAACACAAATCAGAATGAGAGCTTAGCAACAAGAAGAAGAAAAAGGAAAGAAAGAAAACCCACTTGGGGAATCTATCTCCTAGACTTGTTCTTAAAAGCAAGGATCCTCTTCCTGTAAGCTTCTTTGGCTGGAGAGCATGGTGTTGGGCTTTCCTTTCTTACCATCCCACCGTTGAGCATGTAATGTGCAAAATCAAAATCCATTGCAGATCGGTTGGGAATAAACCTATCCAGCTGCTATCCCAAAAGAACAAGATTAGTGTGAATTTCCAATAAAACCTATATATATATATATATATATATATATATATATATATATATATATATAAAGGCAAAATGACAGGAAAAAATCAGCCATAGAGTTTAAAACCCAGGAGCAAGATTAGTGTGAAGCCTATTGCGATGACAAAAGAAGGCAGGCAAAGATATTAAAAAAAAAAAAAATTAAATAAATAAAGAGAGTATATTTTGAAATCTAATATTTTCTTTATATGGAACACAAAAACAAAACCTGAAACTGTCGTTACTGTCTTCTATAACTATTTTGGTTCCTTTCGAGTAAAAATTCTTTGTAATCCAAGACAATAAGACATATGATAATATTACATTATTATCTCTTTTCCTCACTTAGAAACCTAACAACTGGAGAAATGAAAATGCTTACTGGTTCACCTTATAGCCTATTGGCTTATGGTTTGAATTATAAACCCACTGGTCAAGGTTCGAGACTGGTATATATAGAGAGGAAGCTATATGAGAAGTCACAGATGTTAGATTGTGAATCTTTTGGTCATTCTACCCAATCTTGCTCTTCTAAGCCCACTACTAAGCATACACAAAAATGGAGAATGAAGGAGGACGACTAGACCTAATTCGAATTAGTGGGAGGAAGTTATAAGGGAAAAAGGGATAAGTGTTGTGGATCCCCTCAATGAGGAATTGTGAAAAGAAAGCCCTAAAATGGCTATACCTATTGCTTCATTATCAAATATATTTGAATTCCCTTCTTCTTTTGATGTGTCTTTGATCACAATCTCATTGCACCTCTCTCAAGAGATTATGGGACCTATTGATTATTTAAACTTTATTGGGTCTATTTCTCTGAATAAAGAAAGAACTACGTAAATCCAAATTTATACAAATAGAAACAAAAACATATTGAGTGTGTTTTCCCTGAATCTTCATGTTGAATCCCATGGAAATCCAAACCAAGAAACCTACAGGACTATGACTTAAAAAATTATCTAATGATGTAAAAAATTCTAGTCGTGCAGAATCTATACAAGTTGAACAAATAAACCCTAAATTCCTGAAAACTCATATTCATAGACAATAAACCATCCAAATATGCTAAAGAAACCCTTACGTGAAACAAAATCAAAATCCAAGAAATTAATGGGAACATCAACCACAAAAATCTAAAGATATTGCAAACAACATTAGATATCGTCTAAAAAAAAGAAACATTCAAACATTAGACGAAGAAACCATAGTTCACAGTAAATCCAAAAGTCCAAGAAATTCACGAAGACAAACAAAAGAAAGAAAATCAAAAGGAATTCGATACAACAGCTAAAAGCATTTATACTTTTCGCATTTTCTTGAATTCATTGCAACAAAACAGAAAGCCGAAAATATCAATTGGTTGGTGAACATACATAAACACACACAAGTAGATGGAAACACATACTTTTTCGCACAAATTTTGCCTTCGAAGTTTCTGATCGGAGAGAGGGAATCGCGACACTTTTGTGTCCAATTCCTGAATCCAAAATTGATGTTTTAGGAACAGCATATATATATATATATATATATATATATATATATATATATGGATCAAAATTGTATAAAAACAGAGTAGAAATCCCAGCAAAACGATGAACAAGACTAGAGAGAGAGAGAGAGAGAGAGCAAGAGAGCGTTGATGAATGAGTTGGGTTTAAGAGAAAATTAGCAAAACCTCCACATATCAACATGTACGAAGAACGTGAGAACTTGCATTAACTCATTAAACAACATATCAACAACTTCTCCTCCACAACAATCAATCAAAACCTCCACATAGGATGATCCCATACTCCCATGCTTTCAACATTTTGTCACAAGAAAAAAAAAATGGCCTCCACATGGGCCGATGTAGCAATAAGGTAATAAAGTTCAAGATACACCATAAAATTGGTCACTTAAAGGCATGTGACCCCCCCCCCCCCCCCCGAGTATGAGTATAAAAAGCATTACAAATATGCAATCATAAAAGATTTTTATCGAACATAAAGACCATATAATGCCAAAATTTTGATGTACTTGATAGCCATGCAATCGACGCTCCCGTTGTTATCTCTTCCCAGCCCCTAGCGGGAAGACTACATTTGAAGTACATGCAAATCAATTAAACAAAATATAACACCAAAATATTGTACAAGTGGAGATGGTTAAATGAAAAAACTCAAAAATAAGGGACATATGAGCAGACAACTTTTTTATTAGGCGCTAGTAACCAAAAGCAAGACTCTAAACAAAATAAATAAATAAATGGGGTAACAGTAGTCAACTAAGATTATAGCAAAATCCTTTTTATTATTGTTTCTTTATTTTTTTATTCTATCAAATATGATTGGACTATTTGGACCACAAAAAATCAGAAGGAAGCCCGAAAATCTATTTGAAACAATTTTTCCCAGAAATACATACTTCCCTTTGAAAAATCAATAAAAAAGAAATTCTCAAACAATTTGCATGAAACCAAGTCCATTGGAAGCTTAAACACACAATTTTTCTTCTATCAATTTAAATCAATAAATTTTCTTACCGATTAAATCAGGTTTGAAGGAAAAGATAGGAAAAATTCTGCTTACAAAACAAGGATCACAACATGTTAAGATTAACTTCAAAAATCCATACTAATTTTAAAATCCAATCAATTTGAGCCAAAACAAAAACCTGTAAACTCATTAATAATAACTGATATCACATAATTTGAAGTGATTATTGTCAATTATGCTCATGAGTTTGAAACGTATTCGTTCACGTGATCTTTTAGACATTTAATAGAGAAACAAACTACCCTTTTCTCTATGTCATTGTATAAAAAAGAACAAGTGATAAATACCAAAAAGTGCCATACATACCTCATCGGTTCGCAACACAACAAATTGGTCTCTGCTGGTTATATGTGACAACACCTCACTTCAGGGACGGATATAAGTCCAAAATCCTTAATAAAGTAGTCCCCAAAGGCTCTAGACATTGCCAATCTGGGGCATTCCTCATTCGGCAGCCAAATTTTGTGCACCACAGGCTTGTCGTTTAAACTGAACACTCTTCCTTTGTACTGATTTATCCATTCAGCCTCATCTGTCAAACAATGTTGATAATGTAAACACAATGTTCATATAATTTTTGAGACACAAAGAAAGTGAGGAAGAGAGAGACTCACGAGGTAAATTGTGGTTGAAATAACAGTCATAATGCAGTAGGGGAGCTCCAAGGAATTAATTGTGAGGAAACAAGTCATAATGACTTTAATATGATGTTATTTTCCTAGCCTTCCGTAAGCATATAACATGTAAGCCCGTCCATTGTCACATAATCCCATAACCTCCTTGCTTTCACGACCCTCCAGCTGCCAGAAAACTCACACACCTATGATTAACACTCCACATGAGACTCATACGAGGACCCAGGAAAATAATTTCAATACCAAAATAAACCACCAGATGAATAATATAGATTCAACTTAGAATAAGTTACATCATACTTAGAAATGTTTTCTAAATAAGTTAGAAATACTATCACAACATAGTTATACTAACGCAGTAAGGGAGCTCCAAGGAATTAATAGTAATTACAAAATAATTCCATATTTAAGGCCTTAACACCTTACAAAATAACTCCACTAGAATTAGCAATTATATAACTATTCTATCCAGGTATAGGAGCCTTGCACTTTCGATGATTATGACCATTCTCGCCGCATCGCGAACAGTGTAACGACCTTACATTTTGAAATTGTGATTCGATTCGTTTAATACGAGGTCGTCCAGGGGGACGTGTTACCGCAGGAGGCCTAAGATGGGAAGCACCTTCACCGTCAGCAGTAGCAACAATAGCTGGATTCGGCATATCATGCATGGGGACAGAAGACATGAGATGTTCACATAGTTTTTGTTGTGTTTCAACCTTAAACCATGGATTAACCATCTCATAAATATTTAAAGATAATTCATAGATGGCATAGCATGCATGCGAACAAGGAATCCCACTCATGGTCTACTTCAAACAACTACAAGAATTTTCACTGCCAAATACCACCCTGAATGGTTTTCTGTCTCGATCATATATTGTACACTCAATAGGCGAAACACGCATCGACTGAAAACCAAGTGCTAACTCTTGCTCTTTTTTTATTTTCTCCTCAATACGATCCCCAACCGGGATAGTCCACTTCTGAACGTCCAAACTCTTTTGGTATAAAAATTTGCTGAGTCTTTGCATGTGTGTATCCATCAGCCTTGTGATTGAAAAAACCCTCTCTTCTTTCACCCATGCATTGAAGGACTCTGCTTGATTGGTGTATAATTTATCCCAACGCTTAGAAGTAAACATAGCATTTGACCAATGTTCAGGTGAATTCGCCAAAACCCAATCGCACAACTCCCCTCGAAATACCCGGATGGCAGCCAATGCATTCTTATACTCATCTACAGTTCGAGCATATGCAATTTTATCGAGTAATTTTTTCGCATGCTTTTTACCCGAAACCCTCAATCCTAAACTTTGTCTCCCAAGAATGGATGTAGAAAAATTCGCTGTTAGGTGACGAAGACACCATGAGTGGTACTGGGAGCCAAAAATATCTCTAATACAACTTATTAGGCTCGGATGCCTGTCGGTTAAGATTGTCACAATGCGACCATCTAGAATCTCTTTCACCTTGCTCAAGAACCAATGCCAATCATCATCATTCTCAGAAGAAACAACAGCATACGCCAAAGGCCACAAGCCATCATTCGCATCGAACCCCGTTGCACCAAACATTGTTCATTTATAATTGCCACTTAAGTGGCAAGCATCGATTGCTAACATGGGCCTGCAATAGTTGATGAAACCTTGTATGGAGCACCCATAAGCTACAAACACTCGCTTAAATCTCCTATCATCCGTGCACTCCCACGATGTAATTGTCCCAGGAATATATTCTGCTATTCGTTCACACAACCACGGGACTAAAATATAGCTATCCTTGGGATTTCCCTCAATGATATGACGTGCACACTCCTTAGCTCTCCACGATTGCATGTAAGTCATTTTAGCAGAAAATTCACCGTTTATGTCTGTGGAAATAGTCTTGGGGGTGCATTTAGGATTGTCCCTAACCTTGTTCACAATAGCTCGACCCATTTCCTTCGACCAAAAAATGGCTTTATAATCTGAAATGTCTTGAGCAGTGTGAGTGTGAACATTATTAAACCGCTTGATTCTCACTATATCACCACTTCCTTCACAACCAGCTGACAATTTCCATGGACAATTATTAACCTCGCACACAACTCTATAATATTTTCTGCTATTGTCCAAGTACTTGAACCGAAAATGATTACGAAGACCAAACAAAACGAGTGCATCTTTGAAATCATTTGGGCTGTCAAAAAGCTAATCCACGCAAAGAATGTCATCAATGTGTCGGAAAGAATCCCGATGCGCATTTATCGGAGGAAATGAAGACGTTGACGCAACACTTTGTAGAAGACCAATTGGCGATGTGGCTTCAACAAATTGTCTACAAGTGGATAAAAAGGTATATTAAAAATCACATAACCTATGCAGCGCATACATCAATGTATTACTTTAAATATATGTGTCTTACCTCTCACTATGATCAGTAGGAATTGTGCATGATGCAATTACAGGCGCTGCATCTTCCATATACACATTTAGCATGGGACCACTCATTACAAGCATCACTCTAAATCCAGATTCTCCCGTCATCCTCAAAAGTTCATTCTTGTTAGATTCGGTGGTATAATATATGACTTTACCACTCATGTTTGAAGATGAACGTTGTTGTAACTCATTTATAAATGATTCGTATGTTGTTGTTGTTGTTATCATAAAAGGGTCTGTGACACCGCCGATGTATATAATTTCCCCATTCTCATTTTTGTCAATTTTCCCATCAAATCGACAATAGCATATAATTTGTCTCTCATCCATTTGTCCAACTGCTTCGAAAATTGACTCATTAGTTAAAAAAAAAAAAAAAAAAAAAAAACTAAATATGAAGTTCAAAAAATAATGAAATATAAAACAATTAAATATCATAATTATATAATGTAATTTAGAGATCTATTTACAGCGAAACACTACTAATTCCCCCAATAGGGATAGGCGGTGTCAAGATTAAACTTTTCCTAAACACACACTACAGACCTTTTTCAAATCAAAATACAACCACAAAATCAATGCCATTGATTACTAGATAATTGTATCACTATGTGTACAACAAACATATATACAAGATGAGGGAGATTATGAGATGAATAGAGAGTTAAATAGGACAATATAAATTGAAAATAAAAAATTGAGAGTTAAATAGAGAGAGAGCAGAGTGTTGAATATTTTTCACACACATAATTTATATGTGTAAGTCTTGAAAATGGGGGAGACAAGTACAAGGGAATGTTGGAATAATAAATTAATACTAAATACATTTTTTTGATAAATTAATGCTAAATACATATATTAAAAAAGCCTCATTTATAGAGTTTGCTAGCTTTTGCATCAATTCTATCATGTGCGTAGATGCCTAAAGACATATTACACAGAGGTATACTCTACATGCCATTTGAGAAAGAGGCAACAATCTTGAATAATTCTTGATCTAAATTGAGTTATAATAATTAATTATACATAAAAACTAATTGGACTACCTATGTGTTGGTGGCTTTGAATTTTAACTCCTAAATTCCTAGGTTCTGCTGAGGATTTAGTCTGCAGTCATCAAAGAGCCTTGAATATATAGCTTGAATGAAAAAAGCTACCAAAACAAATAAAATCATTCTTCTTTAGCCCTCTGACTATGTGGGCATGGAAGATTCCCGTAAATAGTCTGGTTATCTTAAAATTGAACAAATTGTTAAGTTTCAGAATTCTTTCTAATAGGAACCATTTTTTATTTTTTGTATTACTTACTTTTTCCACTTCTATTACCACCCTTCCCCATCCAAAAGACTCAGCTTGAGTGGTATCTCATGTCGCTTCCAAATAAGGATTCAATTTCCATGTAAAAAATAATAGTAAAAAATTGATAAATTCTGACTCTTTTTGTAGGAGGATACAGATATAGCTGATTTTACATAGATATTATTTTCTAACGGAGTGAATTGATACTACTCATAGCTATCGAGCAATATTGTGGTGTGTATTGGTTGTAACTGACAATGTGAATTTAAAATTTCAAATGGATATAACCATGGTCAGTATTAATGGTTTTAACTAAATTTTGATATTTCCATTAAAATGGTATCTCTCTTTGATTTTGGATCATGTGTGTGGTTATTAAATTATGTGTTGATTTATAAGGTTGCTTTCAGATTTGGACGAAAATAAAATGAAAGTCTTGATAGTTTGTTGATGTAATGAGCTTAAAAATTTAAAATTATATGCTTTGAACATATATCTATATCAGTCCATGGCAACTACTGCTTAATGATAAATAAGCCGTGAAACTACTTTGATCATATGGAGCTTATTAGTTGCATCATGATTACTACTAGTTTTGTGTATGTGTTCCATTATGTACTAGTGAATGTGTGGTATTTAGGCCTATGGCCAGTGTGTGTGTGTTAAAATCATGTATAAACATACATATATATGACAAAGTCGTGTTATGTTTAAATATTTCAGCCCAACTCTTGTAAAAATCAGAACAAATTCATGTTGGTTTGGATGACTCCTAAAGGTTTTTTTTTTGGATGGTTAAACAAGTATTATTATACCATTTCTCTCAGTCCTTCTCTTTCTCCTTCCAAATCGAGGTATGTTAGGGTTTTCTCTCCCCTAATGGCACACGTGTTCTATGGACCTATATTAGAGTATAGTTCACACTATGATTCTTAAGATTGATATGCTTATTGATGGTCTAGTGCTGTTTCAATCTCCTCCTAACAGCACTTAACATAATCATAAACTAGATTTAGCTCAGCCATTTTGTCTTGAAGTTTTTCCTCAATCTCATTGGGAAGCTATTCATGTAGTGGCTGAAATATGTTTGTTTTTTTATGATCCAAACACACTCAAACAAACAAGAACAGTGACCAATAGCTAGCCACAGAAGTTACAATAGGTGTAGCTAGCCTATGACAAGTGTGTTTGTGTTAAAATCTAGGTCATACAATTCTTTTTAACAGGTGTAAATCTAGCTCCCATTCTCACGATTTGTTTGTAATTTAATTTTGTTGCTTTTGTGCTCTATCTACCACTTTATGCGACTTAGTATAAAACCAAATATAAATATTAACTTACTGAATTTTTCTGTTACTATCAAATACCATTAAAGCAAAATTACAAAATTAGACCCTCCCTCACAAGAAACAAAATTTTAAGAATTTATTAATCATTCTAATCGATTGCAATAGGCTGCCAACATAGTTAATTGAGAGTCGATAATTCAAAGAGCATTTCATTTTATTTTTGTCCAAAGCTGAAAGCAACCTTACAAATCAACAAATAATTTCATAATCACACACATGATCCAAAATCAAAGAGAGATACCATTTTAATGGAAATATAAAAAAATAAGATGTTTGGATACAATTAAAAATCAAAAAATAAAAGTACATGAAGCACCAGATTTAAAATTAGATTCCTCATAAGTACAAATAATTCTTTGAGACTACGCTTTCATGAGTACAAATAATTCTTTAGGAGCTCCGAGAATTAGTGGGGTAAAACCATGTATATCTCGATTGCGAGAAAAATATATAATGCAGCTAAAAGAGCATAGGAAGATTTAATAAAGCAATCCCCACAAAAATCTATAAACTCTACCATGTTTGAAGGCTTTTCTCTTAAAAAAGACTTTAGTAGTACTACACTTATCTGTTTCCCATTGAAAACTTTAAATCACCCATTAGCTGTTTTGATTTTGATTTTGATTTTGATTTTGATTCCTTTCCTAGTGCAAAGACATGTAGTATCCGTATTTACCTTCACATAAAGGTGGTGTCTTTGGTTTGATTGTAGTGCCAGAGTTTTGGACCAAAAAAATCAGATCCACCTCAAAGAGAGAGAGAGAGCTCTCTCATGTAGCCTTTTCAAAACAGAGCAAAATACAAAGAAATATTGTCAGTGTTCCCTCAACCTCTTCACTCCTCATTTATGAAACCTGTCTTTCTTTATTTATTTGACATCAAAGCTCTATCAAGTGAAATTCTCAACTCAACTCACAATATTATATATATATATATATATATATATATATATATATATATATATATAATATGTTTTTGGAGTAAGTGTTGTGATTCTGTACACAATAGGAGATTATTTATTATCTATTATTAGAAAATCGAACAGATAAAATGAGAAACTTTGGGAATACCCCCCCTAAGGTAGTGTGTTTAATTGTGGCATTCATATTAAGTCATCAATTTAATATGTATGTTCCACAATATATTTATATATATGCACGGGTGTAGAATATATTAGATAAAAAAGTAGTGTTACTCTTCAATTTATACAAAAAGTAGTGTTACTCTTCAATTTAGTTCTAACTTCTATTTCTACTTTGATTCCAAATAATGCAAAGAGGTGTCATATTCTGATCTGGTATAGAGAATGCTACTCAAAACCTAATTCTCAGAAAGCTTAATTTCTCTATTAAGCTCTCCTCTTCGCACTTCTTCAGCTCTCACGGCTGTTGGGGAAGTTCTTGAAAAATCGGCAAACTCTCTCTCATCTCCCAGAGAAATGCTGCCCAGAATTGACGAGAGTGGCAGGTTTTGCAGCCCCAGAGCCGCCAGAGAGATCACCTTGTA